AAAAAAAAAAAGAACATATACAGAAACTAAATCTGAAATGCTGGGACATAATAAATTATACAGGTCTCTAGGCATTCATTCATATGCAGTAAGACTAAAGGAAGATACTCTTAGGAGAAGAACTTAAAGGTACAATGCCTATGCACATCTGATCGTACAAAATAATATTTATTGAAATTAACTTAAGGAAATGAAAACAAGTTTTTTTCTTTTGCTGTTTTTCTTCTCATTTCTTCTTGTTCTATATGTTCATTTATTGTCTTTGGGAGTATAAGGGGAGGCACAGTAATGGAGGGACAAAGGGTGAACAGATGCATCAGTGCTACTCACTGGACACTATGTTGAAAATGAACTATACAACATGTGGGTGGGATGAGAGGGAAAAACTGGGAGAGAGTGAGGGAAGGGGTAACTCTGTCCAAAAAGAAATGTACTCTTGATTTATGTAACTGTAACTGCTCTGTATATCACCTTTATAATAACAAAACGATTTGGGGAGAAAAAAAAAAGGGTATATGTAAGAAGCTATTGACAGCAGTTGTCTTTCTGGGCAGGGCCAGAGAGACTCAAGGTCTGAGATGGGAAAAATGTATCTCAGTACCTTTTATATTGTTGGAATTTCCTGTATTATACTCATATGTATATAATAGGACATTCTGACATTGAATTTGAATCTTCCTACCCTAGAGAGCTGGCTCCAAGAGATGGCCTATGGCTCTGCCCGGAAGAGGCCATTTCGCAGGCAGATCAGAGAAGATATTCTAATATAGGAAAGTGAGCACCTGAGCCCTGGAAAGGAACAAGCAAAATGAGCAGAAAATGTAACTGTGAAGATTTTGACTTGGCACAAATGCTTCTGGTTACAGTATAGAAAAGCTCGTCCATGCTGTATGCGATTTATCTGGGTGCAACTTTTTTGTTCTTCCTCTGTGGGGTTTGAACTGAGGGGCTCACACTCTTACTTGGCTTTTTCTTTTCAAGGCTGGTGTTCTGCCACCTGAGCCACAGCTTCTGGCTTTTTGCTGGTTAATTGGAGATAAGAGTCTTGTGGACTTTTCTGCCTAGACTGGCTTCAAACTGCAATCTTCAGCTCTCAGTCTCCTGAGTAGCAAGGATTACAGGTATGAGCCGCCAGCAGTAGGTAAATCTTTATTTTTAAAATGAAGAAATCAAATGCTTGCCTGATAGGTTGGGAGCCAAGTTCTTGAGATTCTGTGAGACTAAAGAGAGACTTCCTGAAAGAAGAAACTCTTAGTTGAAGGCTGGGACAGGCAGATGCAGTTTTAGTAACCAATCCAGTAATCAATCTTTATTTCCACAAACAGGAATATCTTTCTCCATTTTGTGAATTGTAGTCTGCTAGCAAGCTGATGTCCTGCATGGAGCCTTGAGCCGAAGCCTTTGTGGGTTGGAGGCCTGGGAAGGAGGGGAGACATAACTTGTCCCAGGCAGATGCCACTCAGCCCAGGACACTCAGGGAAGGGGAATCTTCTCTGCCTTTTGGAACTTTGAGCTTGGGAATAATGGGGTAAAGAGCCTGGGAACCTGGCCTTTGGGATATATAGAATCCTTGGGGCAAAAATATTAGCAACGATCTGATCAAAATAATGCATTCAGCTAACCTTGGGTTCAAACGGCTGATCCAGATACAACCTATTTCCAAAAAGTTGAAGACAGGAACTGGAGCTGTGGCTCAGGTAGTAGCATGCTAGCCTTGAGTGAAAAAGCTAAGCAAGAGCTTGATGTTCTGAGTTCAAGTCCCAGTGAAGAAAAGCCCAAGATGGCCTGATGCCAACTTCCCATGCCCCAGATAAGAGAGGGGACCTGTTTTGAACTGGAAATGCATAGGGTTGGACATGGGGTGACAGTGGTGGGGAAAGATAAGGGTCACCTGGGGCAAAGGGATCCGTGGTCTTATGGCTTTCCTGGGGCCCTTAATGGGGGGAAACTGAGACCCAAGTGTCCGATGACTTGCTCAATGTCACATGCAAGGACCGTAGTTCAGACATGGTCCCACGCCTCCCATCCAGGGGGCCCGTCAGAGGAGGCTAGCCTTTAGGAAGGAGAGGTACTGCTGAAGCTCTTGAGAACTTCATTTGCTTACTAGCCACGTTTCTGTTGGATTTGGTGAAAATGGAGTCACTCAAGACCCTGTTTAGTAGCTACCCAACAGCATCTGCCCACGTCCCCACCATGCTTCCTGTCAAGAGGCCACATTGTGTGATGGAATCTTCTGTTGTCAACCCAACCAGTCTTATGGTACTCTAACAGTATCCTAAGTCTCTTTGTCAGTGATTGGTTAAAGGATGGTGCGTGGGTGGGCCTGTTCTAACCAATAAGGGACATCTCCACAGGGACTGTGTAAAGTTTACTTTCCTAATGAGTGGGAAGGATGCACTATGGTACATCAAACCCACACCCTGCACCCCTTTCTTCCTGCCTAGGAGGAACCCAGATGTGTATGTAGCCTGAGGCCCCAGCAAGAGGGGGAAAATGTGATCCTCTGAACATCACAGTTGAATAATGGAGTCCAAATCCTTGGAAGCCATCTACTTTGACTTCTGTTAAGAAAATATTGGTGTTATAGTTTAAGCCACTCTTATACCCTGAGCGTTCTCTTATTTGTAGCCAAAAGCTTTCCTCCCAAGGACAGCCACACAGGCGAGTGGGACCCCAGCCAACTGCAAGAGATTGCTGTTTAGAGATAGCCATTGGTCAGGTCATCCTACCACTGGTCCTGCTTCCTGTCTGCCCCCAATCCAGGTACAGCTAAACGCACCCCACCAAGTCCTTTCTCCACACATGGGCTGTCTCCATTACCTGGGAGTCAAATCTTCACCAGCCATGTCCAGTACCATTAACCAGTACCATTGACCTGATGGATCACTCATTTATTTATAAGTCACACTTAGGGTGGCCTGCGCTGGGCCAGCCACAGGGCACAGCCCAAGCCCTCACTCCGGGAGTGGGGTGGGTGTAGAGAGCAGAGAGATGGGTCATGAGGAGGCAGCCACCATTAGGTTGCAGTCACCATTTCCATAACTCTCTCCCAACCAAAATGCATTATGTCTCAGGGCAAAGGACCAACTCTAATTCATCATGGTCCTGAACTCACCTCAGAACAGACAACAAGGAAGGAACTCATGGTTCTTTCTGGGGTGGGCTTGTTGTGGGCCTCCCACCTTTCCCTACCGACTCTGCATGGTGATGGTCCCAAATGGCTAGCTGATAGAGCAATGGATGTGGAGTTGGAAAAGCTTTATTCAAACCACAGACTCTCATTAACTTGATGTGTGACATAGGACCCATCACTTGGCCACTCTGAGCTTTGTTTTGCTTCAAGGACAACAAAGGATGATATCAACTGCTTGTTTCAGAGTTACTGCAAAGATGGAATAGCCAGCAGATTCATAGGTACAGGAGGCACCCCACCTCTGAGCATACCACACACAACATGCATGCCTGCGCATGCACACACATACTCACATACGCATGCGCGCGCACACATACGCATGCGTGCGCACACTCGGTGTCACAGCAGAAAAGCAGAGATAGCTCAAGCACAGTGGCCCTTTCCATGGCAGACAGAACACTTCACTAGGGCAAAGCCTTGGGCAGTGTGGTCAGGAGTCATCTCTCTCCAAGAAACAGATACACAGTCTTTGCTGTTCTCCTTGTCTGTTTTGGTCTCTTCAGGGGTCCCGAGGATTCCCACAGACATTCTGGGGGCAGTGCCCAGGAAACTCACAGAAGGGGCTGACAGCTGAGGGACTGAAAGCTCCACTCCTCAGCCACGCTTTGTGGCCATCTGGCCTGGCCACAAAAGACAAGTGAGCCGCCACTGCCCACCATTGGGAGTGTGATTTGAGTTTAGGGAAGGCATGAAACACATCTCCTAGAAGAGCCAAACTGACTTCCTTGGGAGGAAAGGGCCTGGGGCCGGGGAGCTTGAACAGCTGCTGGCCTGGACAAAAGGCACCTAGGAAGTGAGAGGCTCACTGGAGAGTAGGGAAAAGCATCCAGATTGTTAATGAGCGTAGAATGAGGGAAGGCAGAGATAGGGCAGCCGAGGGTGAGCTGCAGAAGGGAAGCAGATAGCATCCTCAAGTCGCTCGACCTTTGCCGTGCTGCTGGTGCTACACAAGTCTGCAGGAGGCCCTGACAGGCTCCCACTACCAGTTCAATATGGGGAGCCTGCCCAAGACCAGACATTCTCTCCTGGCTCCTTCAGGGTGACAGAGAAAGTCTGAGACAGCTGGAGAAGGTCCAGGTGCTGGCTGGCTGTCTTCTCAGGTCGCATCCCAGGACTCTTATCTCTGTGGACTGTCTGGGACTTAAGCAGATAAGAGCCTGAGCTCAGCATGGGCCAACAGTTTAAGAGCCTGCATCTTGGTTCTTCTACTACTTGCTCATCCCAGAGATGATAGCAGAGCCCTTGAGGGGGCCGCCTTTGCTTCCAAGCCTTCTCTCCAGTCACCCTTTGTCATCTCTTGAAACCAGGCCGGAAGGCAAAGGCATCCCAGACTGGCTGGGTATTGGTGGGGTGTGGGTGTCATTGGATCCTACGGGGGTTGTCCCCAGTGTTCTGTGCAAGCTGCGCTGAATGTTCATAGTTTTCAGGAGAGTAGGAGCCACACTCGGGGTCTTGCAGCTCTTTCTAAGTGTCAATGGATGTCAAATTAGCCCACTCAGGAAAGTGACTCAAGTCAAATATGGGCCGTCCCCAGGTGTTGACAGACAAAAGCACACAGAAGATTCCAATTATATTCATCATGACTCCAGTTTTCATCTGGAAAATAAACACAGGGTCAGAGATGGTGGCCACAAATTGGCTGTTGCCATGACAAGGGCATGGCACACAAGGAGCTAGTCTTCTTGGAGAGGGGGACAGAGGAGCTTGACAGCTCTCTGCTGGACTCTTGTCCCCGGAAAATGATGCACCAAGTGTCATTGGTGCACAAAGCATCCTGGGAAGAAGGCTGCAGAAAACAGCTGTTTCCATTATAGCACTGGACAATGACCTTGGGGAGGCAGTAGGAATCCATCAGTAGCCACTACAGAAACCTCAGCAGAGCCTGAGATATGACTTCAGGTCTGGTGATCAGCCCACTGAGTCATCTCACCACACGCCTGCTTCATTGTGACCTTCTTCTGTGTGTGTGTGCGTGCGTGCATGCGTGCACGCACACGCATGCGCGTGCACGCTGCTACTAGGGCTTGAACTCCTGGCCTCATCTTCTCATTAGGCTTCTTCTCTCAAGGCTGGTACTATATCACGTGAGTCACACCTATAGTTCTGGCATTTTGCTGGGTATTGGAGATACAGATCTCACAGACTTTCCTGCCTAGGCTAGCTTTAAACCTTTATCCTCAGATCTTAACCTCTTAAGTAGTTAGGATTACAAGGCATGAGCCACCAATGCCCAGCTTCCTTCTTTACATCTTTCTGTTGACTGCTCTTTCTTCCATAATGCTCAATAATCATTTCTTGAATCATCTGAATCAGGGTGACAAGAAATGGTTTCTGGGATATACCTTCCTAGTGAAAATGCCTGTGGAGTTCCAGAGACACTCAATTACGGCTCTGACCTCACTAGCCCCTGGCTGTTTCAAGGTAGGGACCTTTGTTTCTGGTGTCTTGCTCATATGAGTTGCCTTGTTTCTGACCCAGAGCAGTAGATCCATCCTTCTCCCAACAAAAAACAAACCAGACATAAAGCAAATTACAGTGACTACCCATGCTTCTGTACTTCCAGGCAGTCCCCCCATTCCTGGCACCTACTTCGTGTGTGTGTGTGTGTGTGTGTGTGTGTGTGTGTGTGTGTGTGTGTGTGTGTGTATGCACACACATATGCCTGCTGGTACTAGGGCTCGAACTCAGGGCCTCACATTCTTTCTTAGCTTTCTCACTCAAGGCTGGTGCTCTACTACTTGAGCCACAGCTCTACTTCTGGCTTTTTGGTGGTTAATTGGAGATAAGAGTCTCATGAGCCTAATTTCCCAGGCTAGCTTTGAACTGTGATCCTCAGATCTCAGTCTCCTGAGTATCTGGCAAGAGCCACTAGGGCCTGGTTTATTGCACTCACCTCTTTGACACCTCTGCAAGCCATCTCCCTTCTTCCCATCCTCAGGGTGCAGGCTAGATGAGCAAGTCCACAATAGCCATGTAAGACCCCTGCTCCTGACTGAAGTGCTCACTGGGGTTCTTCAGGTGGGACTATTTTTTTTACCCACCTCTATGCCAGAACACCTTGGGAAGTTTGCATGATAAAGGTAAGCAATAGCCAGGTGCCAGTGGCTCACTCCTGTAATCCTAGCTAGTCTGGAGGCTGAGATCAGAAGATCATGGTTCAAAGGCAGACAAATCAGAGAGACTTATCTCTTCTAAATAATCATCAAAAAGCTGAAAGTGAAGGTATGGCTCAAGTGGTAGAGCACTTACCTTTAGTGAAAAATCTAAGCAATAGTGCAAGGTCCTGAGTTTAAGCCCTAGCTCCAGCACACACACACACACACACACACACACACACACACACACACACACACACACACACTATCCTTCTAAAAGCCATATGTCACATTCATACATAGGGCGTCCCTTGCCTGGGGAGCTGCGTGCTCTGGTAGGAGTGAATGAAAGCAGTACTATTACCATGTCAGAAACCCGGACATGTCCGTAGGAGAACACGATGGCATTTGGTGGGGTGGCCACAGGCAGCATGAAGGCAAAGGATGCGCTCAGTGTGCAGGGTAGCATGACCAGCAGTGGATTGATGCCAATGGAGCGAGCCTGCAGGAAGACACAGAACACAGAGGCTCCTACCACATTCTGAAGGGGCTTCCCCCAGGGCCCAGGTTATGTTCCAGCCCAGCCTCTCTTCTCCTTTTGTCACTTCTCTAGCCGTTAACTGTGGCACACTAAAGGCGGCACACAAACCTTCCTTCCCTGAGAGGCTTTCCCGCTCAACTGGTTTAATGTATTGCTTCTTTTTTTATTTTTCTTTTTGGTGCTGGTGCTGGGGTTTGAACTCAGGGCTGGTTCTGTCCTTGGCTTTCTCACTCCAGACTGGTGTTCTACCACTTGAGCCACAGCTCTACTTCTGTCTTTTTGGTGATTTGTTGACAATAAAAGTCTCAGACTTTTCTGTCTGGGCTGGCTTTGAGCCATAATCCTCATATCTTAGCCTGTTTAGAAGCTATGATTACAGGCATAAGCCACCAGCATCTAGCTTCAAAGTCAATTTTGGGGGCACTTTCTATGTGTCAGACAGCATACCAAATTGCTCAGTTGCGCCGAATCTTGCAATCTGTCTTTCAGTCTGTCTGTCAATCACAATGAGGAAGCCTCTTAGAGGGTGGGCCTTATCTTCTCCTCTATGCTCCTCTGTATGAGTGGATGTGTTTTTATTTACATTTGTGTTCTTTTGCATCTAGAATTCAGTATTCACCTTTTTTTCCATTCTACATTTAAAGCTCAGTGCACTCTATGAACACAGAACAGGTACTCATTAGATATTTCCATGGAAATATCTAATATGCATATTTCCATGGAAAAGAGGTCCAACACATAAGCAAATGTTCACTTACAACAATGTAACAGCAAAATACAGGAAATAAGACCCAGTGATATATTGGCTGGGTGCTGGCAACTCTACCTCCGTACCTGTATTCCTATCTCCTCAGGAGGCTGGTATTTGAGGATAGCAGTTCTAAACCAGCCCACGCAGACTCTTCTTGCCAATTAACCAAAAAGCCATACATCGAGCTGTGGCTCAAATGGTACAGCACTAATAAGGGACAGCACTCAGGCCTGGTGCCCCAGTTTTGGCATACACACAAAAAAGGCATCTATAAAAATGGAATATTATGCAGCTAAAAGAAGAACTTGGTAGCATCCACAGAATCATCCCTTTAACCAGAGAGTGTGAATGTGTGTGTACTAGATCCCTGAGAAATTAGTAACAGGTCATCTCTGGAGAGCAGTCTGGAGGATTAGTGTTTCTGTGTTTCTTTGTGTCAACAGACTTGTTTTTAAGGCAGTGAGAATATATTACTTTTTCTTTTCTTGCTTTTTTTTTTTTTGTGTTGGTCGTGGGACTAACTCTGGGCCTGGGTACTGTTCCTCAGCTCTTCAGCTCAAGGCTAATGTTCTACCACTTGAGCCACAGTGTCACTTCCGGTTTTCTGCGTGGTTTTTTGGAGGTAAGTGTCTCATAGACTTTCCTGCATGGGCTGGCTTTGAACCGCGATCCTCAGATCTCAGCCTCCTGAGTAGCTAGGATTACAGGCGTGAGCCACCAGCGCCCTGCTTATATTACTGTTTCAGCTGGAATAACAGCACAAACATGTTCTCATTTTACCAACATACTTCCAAGTTGTGACTTTTAAAAATCTTTACAACACCAAGCCTGATTTTCCTTGTTTTTTTTTTATTTCTTCCCTTTTTCCTTTGAGTCTTGCTGTATAGTTTTTTTCTTCCTTGTTTTCTTTTCTTTTCTTTTCTTTCTGGTTCTGGGGCTTGAACTTAGGGGCCTAGGCTCTGTCTCTGAGCCTCTATGTGCTCCAGGCTAGCACTCTACCACTTAAACCACAGTACCACTTCCAGCTACTGTTTCTGTGGTACAGAGGAATTGAACCCTGGGCTTCATGCATACTAGACAAGCACTCTACCATTGAGCCAAATTCCCACCTTCGTTGTATAGTCTTGAATTCTTTATCCTCCTATCTCAAGCACCCAAGGGCTGTTTTGTTGATCATGCAATTGTTGATACTTGGACTTAAACTCAGGATCTGGACACAGTCCCTTAGCTTTACCATTCAAGGCTGGTGCTCTGCCACCTAAGCCACATCTTCACTTTTGGCGTTTTGCTGGTTAATTGAAGAAAAACAATCGAATGGATTTTCCTGCCTGGGCTTGGCTCTAAACTGTGATCCTCAGATCACAGCCTTCTGAGTAAATTATAGATTATAGGTGAGCATCACCAGAGCCTGCCTCTAGATTTGCTCTTTATGCGTATGGCCACCCAAATAGCTAGATGGAAACTGACTTGTTTCTGTGCTCTGCTGTCTCTCCCCATCTGTCCCCTCTAGCAAAACAACCAGGCAACCAGGCCCTCTACTGCAACCCTGCTGTAAGCTACAGAAGCTTTCCACCGCTTCCACAGAGATGCTCCATCTTTCCAGAATATTCTTTCCCATTTCCAACCAAAGCTCTACCTCCCCTTCCTCTTCTTGGGGTCCTAGTCTTGAATGCTCTGCCCTTCTACTTGAAGCAATAGAGTGCTGGTATTACAAGCATGCACTGCCATGCCCAGTGAAAAGCAAGATTCTTTGCTCTGCTGGTATCACACATGAACAGATGATTTGTTCCGCCAGTCTGTTATTCTTAAGAGTATATTTTTTAAAAAGTAAGTCTTTGTTGTATATGTGTGTAGGCTTTGCTAATTATTTTCCTAAGATACAGTCTCAGACAGGAAATTGTCAAGTAAAGAGATACAAACAAGTCTGAGGTTGTGGCTTCCAATGGGTGGGTGGCCCCTGCACCCTTAGTGGCACACTCAGCAACCAGGGTATGGGCCCTACCTCCTCTTCACAAGGCTCCCCAGCTTGGAAAACAATCCATTTTGATTTTACATTAACTCTAGTCCATGGTTAGTTCTTTGACAGTAGTGGGGCCACCAAGAAAAACTGGAAAAGCAGCAAGGATTGGGGGATCAGAGAGCAGGGGTACCCAAGACCACCAGCCAGAGCCAATTTTACTGCCATTCTAGGGTAGCCAGGACATGGACGCAAGGTTGACATCTTCCCCCTCCCCAGCACAGGGCCACTTACCATGGAGGCGAAGATGGGTAGGAACAGGGTGGTGGTGGCCACGTTGCTTGTGCATTCAGTACACATGGCCACGAGTAATGCCAAGACCAAGGTGATGAGGGTTGGAGACAGTGCCCCCATGGGTTCCAGCTGCTTCCCCATCCACTCAGAGAGGCCTGAGGTCTGGACACACACAGGAGGGATGTTGTTTCAGCTGACAGTTTCTCCCAGGAGGACGGGGGAAGGAGGTAGGGTAAAGGGTCCAGCCTGCTCTCTGCTCAGCCCTTTCTCTCTTGCACATATTATTCCCTGGAGGAGCTGGAAGATTATATCTCCCCCT